ACAGTGAACTCATCAAACAATTCTTCACTATGTACCAGAATAACTTTACGAAGTCATTCAGGCTAGTACCATCTCTTCTATCAATAGACTGGAAACTCATTAAGGAACGCAGTTCATTCAACTGTTTATTCGTAAACCGAAGCACTGTTTATTCCATTTTAATCGAGTGTAAAATTGTATGGACAGACCAGAATATGAACGGTGTCATTGAAAGACTGTTTCGAGAGTGTGAAGAATAATCTTAAATGGCGATTGATCTGGATGAGAGTGTCTGATAAATTCGTGAACGGAGCTTGCCTTATAGTCAGTCAGTTCTGAGTATATTTGAAAACTTCCTACTGCAGCCTGATTGTGGACCAGAGCAACTTTCGTCAAATATTTTGCGATTGCATTGTATTAAGTGAACGCTCATAACAGATACGTTTTATTATTGTCAAATGATCACATTCAATTGTTTGCGTAATGCTTCTGTTTCTTTTACAATGATGACCAATACTAACTCATAAATTCACGACATTCCTTACATTTCTCCCATAATTCAGGCTTATCGATCAGCACCAACGAGTCACCGGCGTCTAGTTTGCGTATTCTATAACATCCGGCCGCCATACCGATTGCCGGTTGATTATAGAAGCAGTCACTCCATTTATACGAAGTCAAGTTTTTCGGACATCTGAAAGATTGAACATGCGACTAGTGATAGGGCGCAATGTAGATGCTAAAATAAGCTCAGATGAATGCTACCTGATTGTAAGTCAATAAAGAACGAGAATGAAAAGCACGAACGTTTGTACATTACAAGGTACTGTTTGCTCGAAACCGACTTCAAGGCCCTTGGGACATGGTGCGTATCTATTACCAATAGTTTGATGAAGGTAGATCAGGCGTCGTTTCATGAACGGTTTCNCGGTTTCTCTTTAGCAGACTGGCACGTCATTGAACACGCACTCCACTCACCCCACTCCAACATACAGGGCAAATTTGCTGGCGTGCTCGCTTGTACCTTTAACGTGATCCATATGTCATTTTCGTTGTCGTGATCACATTCATACAAGTTACCTTGAGTTGCTACGACCGATGGATGCGCGCTATTAAAGTGTTGGTGATTGTGATATTAATGAATAGAAGAAAGAATATTATCAGTAGAAATAGGTGGGGATTGGAGATTGGAATAGCGTATTATAAATTAAGGTAGATAAACGAAATTAAGCAACTGGTAGACGTTTCGGTGTAAAACAGCAGCTTCAGTACCTTTGAATTTGACACATTCATAGAATCAGCTAGCAATATGGCACATACCTGACGTTTCTTGTAAATCACTATAGTGAATAGAACGAGAATTGTGAAGAAGAGAAGAATGGCGATTAGTGCGAGGAAGAAGTTGATGATGGTCAGCACTCGAACCTTTCTGTTGCGTACTAACGGCGCGATTCGCTGAAAGTACGATTCGGAAGTGAGCGGAATTCAAGATGTGAAAGGAGATAGAAATGGTGGTGCTAACCCTGTACCAGGATGATAGAGTTCTTGAGATGTGATATCTTGACGAAGATAATATCGAAAAGTAGTCGTTATCTTCGGACATATCTGACAACTGAAAATCGATGAGTTAATTATTGTTCACTGAAATGATTCAAAATTGAAGTTTTGAAGATTAGTACGGTAAATCGAAGTGTCAATGCGACAATTATCGATAGCACACTGAGGAAATGAGTAATCCTAGAGGATTAATTAGAAGATCAGGGTTTTGTATTCTAAATGCAGTCGGTTCGATTGCATCACAAACATGAACTACCCAAAAGGATGCGATGATGAATTCATGACCTGTGCAGTCTCCTCTCCAGCCGTGGGCTGCGCTTGAATTTCATTGTCGATGAGTGTTGCCTCATCCACGTCGCCTTGTGGTGGAACTGGATTTGATTCTTCAGAACTCTGCAATGTTCAATTCGAACTGAACTGACCAGCGACTGATACAAAGTCGCATTGCACAGAAAATTAGTTTCTTGGTGTGATTCTGGCATTCAGCGAGAAAATTTGCTAAAAAATGTGTAATCCTGAGCGATGCATCTCATTCAGCAGTGTTTTTGATTGTCTGATAGCTGAAGGAGTCGAATGATGTTATCAAATAATAGCCTTAAAAAGCATATGCTTTCAAACTCAAGTGCGCAAATGCACACTTCGAACAACTCTCATCACAACCGCCAACTAACCATCTTGCTTTCCCCCACCACTCGAGGTGTACTCGACTGAACGGAATGACGATCGAAAGATCAGTTTTCGATTGCAAGTTTCATAATCTGCTATGCAAATTACTTTCGCACAGTTACATTTGCTAATATTCCAGCTCTCATTTAAGCATTTGCATTTGCATAAACCCTTACGAGCGAATCATTTCCAGAACACGAAAAGCATGCATTCTGCATAATCTCTCCTATCTGATATGAAAGCATCGCAAGCGCAGCACTCGTGTCATGCTAAAACAGTGTTTATGACACAATAATAACAATAGCAATAAGCACAAAAATAATAACTTCATTCGTCAACATCCGTTACATTGCTAGCTCTATCAATAATATCGAATGTACACAAATTTTTACACCGTCGCATCGTTTTTTGCCGTCTGACAGTTCGTTCGTATTCAGTCGTTCTTCCCTAAACATGATGATGATGATGATGATGATCATTGCAGAGAATCTCTCGAATATTTCGTTTTTATGAAAGGTATTTTTAAGATTTCCGTTGATACAACGTGACCAATGGGAAACCAACCGCTCTCAATTGAATGCGAATGGTTTTGTTTGTGTTTTGCGTTTGGTTTGCTCATTTCCGTTTGTAATCATCAATGAGAATCGCAGAGAGGCATCGTTGTTGTTTATTGCTAAAAGCTATGCTCTTGCTCTTTAAAATCAGTCTGACGTTGATCTCGAGGTGGCGCATCAATCGCACCTCATTTATAATCGCATTCCGTATTTATCAAAAGATTGTTTGTTGACAGCAACACTTCTTAATAATGATCTTAGCAAGTAAAATCAAATATTGTTGCTTATTGAAACGCTGAAACGTTGATAATGCTATTGAAGTGGAAGTGATCTTAGGTGGAGTAATATTAGTAATAAATCAGCTCGGAAATGATAACATTGACTATTAATAATAATGCTAATAATAAATCAGTTCGCGATAAACTTCTCACTTCAAATTGCTTCCTCTTACACTCATGCGAACATTCCGATTGGCGATAAGTGATAAAATGAATGTTGTTGATAGTATCATATCATATATCATCACAGGTATATGTTTATCTAATACTCAGTTTGTTTACCCATTGCTTTTGCTCTTGTGAACATGTTTTTGAAAAAGTTTTCATCTTTAAAATCTTCTTAACATCACTTTCATCTGCAAAAACCATTTTTTTTGAACAATTGTGTATCTTTCAACTCTACTTAATGTTCTTCCCGATAAGGAGCCAATTAACAATTTAATCGCTGAATTAAGTTACTTTTTAATCGAATTAAGTGTATAATCGAATCGCACTGGAATTCAATAACCAGTTTTCGTATTCATTTGCATCTTTCTACAGTTATTATAGGCGAACAATTACCATGCTTTCTTGTCTCAGTCCACTTATTAGCGATGTTCTATCATGCCTTCAATGGCTGGATGTCCTCACCGAGCGGTATCTCACTCACCTGTGTGATAGTGAGTCATTTATTTCAACTTTTTAGACACCTGCACACACATTCATTCTATTTATTACCTAAAGCATTACTAATCATAATGAGATTGCAAACAGCCGTCTGTAATGCTTATTTGTATTTGTTTGTTCGCATGAATCACTCTACGCATGAATCCTTTTATTAATTTGTCGTCGTCTCACAAATACGCACAACATACGCTATCTAAGCAACCATCTTAAAATTAAAACTCACACGCTGCTATTATAATAGAACTTTAACGAATTTCCCATTTCGTTGAAGTCTGGAGTGCACAATCGCTCTGTTCATCGCCGTTTTTCGTCTTCTCGATTCGTATTGTCAATCGCTTTTGTACTGAATTTTTACAAAAGTATTCTGAACGTATTTGAATAAATTACTAAAGTAAAGATATTATTTATCATCACGTACCACACTCTTCACTTTCACTTTTTATTCCTTATCAAAATCAGACCAGTGCTTCTTGAATGATAAATAATCGATGAGTGAAAGTTGTTGATCTCGTCAAAAGACCAATCAATCACCCAAAAAATCTACGTTAATCTTGCTAGCCTCATTCATCTTATATCTCAGTCTCAGACTCGTTCTTATTTACTTCTCTTGCATCTAATCCTCTTCTCAGCAAGATTTAATTAATAAATAATATAATGCATTACGAAACTTTTTATTCATCTTAAACATTTGAATAAACTCTAAACGATCACTGCAAACGTTTCCATATAATCGTTTGTGTACACTTGTTCGACTCGAACCAATTATGTTGTGTGGTTGTAGTACTCGATTGGTTGTCTGATCCACTTCAGATGCAATTCCTGTCTCTTGCAATACTAATAATTTGGTGTCTCAGTAGTGCCTCAGAGGGACGACGCTTTCGAACTCGTAACTTTGGTATCGATTCATTCTCTACAGTTCATCACCTCTACTGGAATTCTTCAAATCATCTGTAATTGATTTGTCATAATTGCATTTTTTTTCATGTTTTCACAATTACAAACCTCAACCAAAATGTGCGTTTGCTAGATCTACAGGGCAATTTTTAAATTTTAGATTCGATCGGTACTCAAATTCAATTCGTTCGGAATATAATGAACGTGATGCTGACTATGAAGCACCAACTTTAAACGTGCGTCTTTTGGATGCACTCTTCATCCACTGCCCACAATACACAACCAAACAATTTGAGGATCTCTCCGAGCAGTCACTTATTTATATGGTCAGTTGCCGGTCTTATTTCTAATCACTGCATTCTCAATGTTCTGAGTTATCGACTCCTCGGTCAGCATATTCACGTCATAAGCCTTGATTTAAAAATAAACGACACTGAAATAGAATCATTTCAGTTTTATTAATACTCATGTAGATTTTTATTTGCAACAGCACTTTTTGCGACAGTTTGCACAATGAATTATGATTCATTCAAACACAACTCTTATCATACGCTCTGCCATTAAGGCGATTATAGTTTTTTTGCGGAGGCGATTGTCTTGGTTGATGTTGCCGTAAAAGCATCATATCATGTGAATGATACGAGCGGTTAATTGCAGGTTTCGAAACAAGGATTTGAGGGATGTTTTCTGGATGATACGGCTCGGCTTATCGCACATTGCAGCCCATCATCGCGAAGTGTCATTCGACGCATATTCAGACGCAAAGGGAGTGCGTTTGGAAAGCTGGTCTCTGGAAATGACTACTTTTTAATTTGTGAGTTACTGACTTTTGCTTATACGATGATTCAATCTGATTCCATTCGATTCAATGCGATTCCAGTTTGAAAATTCAAACTTTCAATTGGAGTGTGTACCACGCCCACTTAACGACTATTAATATCGTCTATTCCGGCGAATTTGCACGCGCTTTTATTATCAAATAGTTCACTGAAGCACTGATGCTTATCTCCATCATCGATTAAACTCCATTTTACAAATCGGTTGTCACGAAACGATTCGAGTTTTTCTGATGTATTCTGCGTCAGAATCGATTAGTGATTAGTTGCTGATGAAAGTGCGAATAGATAAGAGAAGATAGAAACGGCGATAAACGAACGTCTCTTCGAAATACTGCTAAAAAGTTGAAGTAAAACGTCTCCTCGTTTTGATTACAGTCATCGATCATTAGTCGCTTTTCTTTGAGAAAAACAGCGTTTTTAATTATAGATACATACCTAAACACAATGAATATTCAGTTGCATTGTTCAATATTGACACGTCGATAAGAAACTTTCATCAGTACTTTGCTAGCTAGCCGAAAGCTTCGTTTTGATTCGACGAACGTCGTCTAGAAAGCGTCAATGATCACTGAAGATTTCAAGATTCATTTCAGCCACTTCAAGCGGAACAGAGGATGGACTCTATCAAAGTCGTGGTGGTCTATGTGCTGCAAAAAATTTACGCAT